CTTCCATTAAAAAACAGTCCCTCCTCCCCGGGTGAGATAACCAGAAATGAAACATTTTGTTCTACATTTGGAAATGGGTCTTATAATATATATTCAATTTGACTGGGTTCTAGGTGGTTCTGGATTCTGAAGAAGAAGAAGAGGAAGAGGAGTATGAGGAGGAGGAGGAAGAAGAAGCAGAGGGAGAAGAGGAGGAAGAAGAGAGAGCACGAGCACACACACTAGTGGGCTGGAAAGAGTGTGAGCTTGGGCACAGATGTGTGGAAGGGATGAGGAGAGGAAGAAACTCAGGAAGGAGAGACTTAAAGCACAGCTCTGCTGAAGTGGCTTCTTTGCTCTGCACATGTCTCCAAATGCCCTCAGACTCAGAAGTACCTTTTCACACATGACTGAAAATCAGGGAGGAAAGAGGAAGAGTCACATTCCAGACTCACCTCCCACTCCTGTAGCCTGTTGCCCACATTTGCTCCTTGTTGCTGATCAGCATTAGCCTGGGGGTAGCCCAAGTGCAGAAGAGCCAGGAAAGAGGATGCTGCAGGCCATGGCTGAGCTTTCTGCAGAGGAGGAAGAGTCAGAGGTGGAGGAAGAAGTACTGCTCATCATCCATCATCACTTGCATTTGACAGATACTCAAAGGCAGGCAGGGAGGTGGGAGAGCTGTATAGTATAAAAAGGGAAGGTTCTAGATGTTCTCTGACTGGAGGCTGCTAGCATAGGGAAGCTGTAGGCAGGCTAATGAGAAGCCGTGTATCCTATGTGATTGATTACAGGCTCAAATTTGGCCTTCTCTTTGTTGACAGTTAGGATATAGCTCAGTTGATCGAGAGCTTGTCTCACATGCACAAGGCCCTGGGTTCAATCCCCAGCCCCACAAAAAAATAAAAATAAAAAAATAAAACAAAACAAAACCCTACCTGAGTATCTTTACATTGCATAAAGTCCCACACCTAGTGAACAACTGACAGTTTGAACCAGGCACTTTTAACACGAATGGCTGAACCACTTTTCAATTCCTCTTTCACTTGTTAGTCCTTTCAGATATGTCTCAAAGTTGCCTTACATTCTGCCTTGAAAACCATATATATGGAAAAAGGGATGATTACAGCAGTGCCACAAACAGTATTTTTTATCGAAGAGACAACTATGTTTAAGTACCTAAATCTTGTAAGTATTCCTTATTGCTTCTGTGAAATTATATGCCAAATATAGCAATGTATACATATCAACATTAATTATTACTAGCATATGGAGGGTATCAAGTAAAATATTAAAGATATTTTTCTTTCTATATAAATATGAAAAAGATTAAAATAATAACATCCTTATAACTACCATAAAAAGCAAATTTAATTTGGAATTTTTAAAAGTTTCTTAATATAGAGGTCTTATTTTATGTATATATATTTTAAATTTGTTCTAATTAGTTATACATGACAGTAGAATGCATTTTGACACATCATACATAAATGGAGTACAACTTCTCACTCTTCTAGTTGTACACAATGTAGAATCACACCAGTCTTGTAATCATATATGCACATAGGGTAATAATGTCCAATTCATTCTATTATCCTTCCTACCTCCATATCTCCTCCCCTCCCTTCATTCTTTTCTCTCTGACCTAAAGTACATCTATTCTTCCCTAGCGCCCACCCTCTTATAGTGAATTAGCATCCGCATATCAGAGAAAACATTTACTTAACATGACTTATTTTTCTTAGCATGATATTCTTCAGCTCCATCCATTTACCTGAAAATGCCATGATTTCACTCTTTTTTAAGGCTGAGTAATATTCCACTGTGTATATATACCACCTTTTCTTTATTTATTCATCTGTTGAAGGGCATCTAGGTTGATTCCATAGTTTGGCTATTATAAAATGAGCTGCAATTAACATCGATGTGGCTGTGTCACTGTATGCTGATTTTAAGACCTTTGGGTATAAATCAAGGAGTGGAATAGCTGGGTCAAATGGTGGTTCCATTCCAAGTTTTCTGAGGAATTTCCATACTGCTTTTCACAACGGTTGCAACAATTTGCATTCTTACCTGCAATATATGAGTGCAACTTGTCCCCCACATCCTTGCCAACCTTTATTATTGTTTGTATTTTTGATAATTGCCATTCTGACTGGACTGAGATAAAATCTTGGAGTAGTTTTGATTTGCATTTCTCTAATTGCTAGAGATGTTGAACATTTTTTCATGTATTTATTGATCAACTGAATGTTTTCTTCAGTGAAATGTCTGTTCATTTTCTTAGCCCATTTATTGATTGTTTTCTTGGTGTTAAGTTTTTTGAGCTCTTTATATATCCTAGGGATTAATGCTTTATCAGAGGTGCATGTGGTAACATTTTCTCTCATTTTGTTGACTCTCTTCACATTAATGATTGTTTTCTTTGCTGAGAAGAAGCTTTTTAGTTTGAATCTATCTCCTTAATGATTCTTGATTTTATTTCTTGTGGTTTAGCTGTGTTGTTAAGGAAGTCAGTTGCTAAGCCAAAACGGTAAAGATTTGGGCCTACTTTTTATTCTATTAGGCTTAGGTTCTCTATTATAGTGCCTAAGTCTTTGGTGCATTTTAAGTTGAGTTTTGTTCAGGGTGAGAGATAGAGATTTGATTTCATATTGTTATATATGGATTTCCAATTTTCCCAATACCATTTGTTGAAGAGGCTATCTTTTGGTGTCTTTGTCTAGTATAAAGTAATTGTATTTATGTGGGTTTGTCTCTGTGTATTCTATTCTGTACCATTGGTCTAGGTGTCTGTTTTGGTGCCAATACCATGCCATCTTTGTTATTATAGCAATGGAGAAATGAAAAAGGCAACCAGCTTGAGTTTGCATAACAGACCTTACTAAACAACCATCTACCATACATTTCCTAGTCACCTTCCCACACCCCATCCTCACCAGCTCAAAGCCCTTTTTTCTGTGTCTTCTCACTTCCACCCAGTTTTCTTTGTTAACGTGTATATAATCTCCCAGGTTAACTGCTTCTTTGGGTTTCTTAAGAGGCTTTTCATGATTGTATAAAAATATTAATAAATAAAATTTGTATGCCTATTCTCCTGTTAAATCTGTCTTTTGTTAGTATAACTTACAGGGTACCAGTCCTAGAATATGGGAGGGTAGAGGAAGAAGATATTTTCTTCTCCCTGTAATAAACTTAAGTTTCAATCTTGAAGTCCAGTCCATCAACAAATAATATTAGGTCAGGGTTCTCATCAGAGTCACTAACAAATCTGATTAAGATACAGGATGTTCCCTAACTGAGGTAAGACAATCGTGAGGTTCCCCTTTTTCTGGTAGGGGCAGGAGAGTGGCAGATTCAGGCCATGGAAACTGTAAATAGTAATGTGAGATGGAGAAATTAACAGGCTTTTCTTTTTCTTTTTTTTCTTTTTCCAGGGCTGGGGATTGAACCCTCACACATGCTATACCCCAGCCTCTTAACAACAGGGTATCTGAAACCTCGTTCACATCCTTAAAAAAAAAAAAATTTCATAAAATGCCGGATCCCTTTTGATGCCATTTTTGGGGCACTTATTCTGAGCAACTAGAATTCTTGTTTTCTTCCTGATGGCCATCCTCATTTGGGCTCAAATAAACTCTTTGTTCTCACAACTTGCCTTTTAGGTTGATAGTGGTTTTTGATGGTTCCTCCTGAAGTTGAATTAAAACTTTGAGGGCTGGTTAGATTGTCATGCAGAGATAGATTAAATGGCTTTTTGTAGTTTAGGGACACCTAGGAAGGAGGCTGTTAAAGACATTTATAGGAGTTGCAGGGGGCCTATTTATATCTGTGGTTCTGAGGTCTTGCTGGGCCAACTCCCTAAAATTATTTTGGCAATGGAAAGGTGCCTAAAGAATGGCCACTTTAGTGCAACTATGCCCAGTGTCTTGGTGCAATTAAAAATCAGTTAAGGCCTGAATACACAGAACATAAATTCCTTGAATGATGAAGTGCTTAAATTGTTGTTCAGGAACCAGCTTTTTAAGAATGGACATATGCAGCAGAAACCAGCTCATCTGATCAGTGACCTTTGGATGTCACAAGCTCAAAATCCTCCCTAGAACACAATTAACGCCCCTAGAAAGAAACACATGGACTAAATATGTGATTGTGAAGAGGCACAATGATTGCACAGTAAAGTTTTTTCTTTTTGCAAAAAACAGGGTTAGAGTATTGGCTTCTACATGCACCAGGCTCCTCGTTGCTCCATATCAGGGTCCATCTGACTAATCATACCATATGGCACCCTTTGGCAAGACCTATGCCTTGTTTATCTCTGAGCCCACTGTTTAAGGAATGAATGAACAAATTCTAATTTGACTCAATTCTCACCTACAGGATCAGTGGTCCTTGTGGTTACAGACTGCCAACTACCATCAGTGCCCCAGAGCAGGGTGGAGAGTGGTGGGTAGTTTCTAGAACTGGGTGAGCTTATATAGAGGATTTCTCTCTGTTTAGGAACTCTCCCCCTTTCTTCCTTGGATATAGAATCTGTGTAGCTGAGAGCAGATAGCTGACTCTGTCTCCCTTTCCTACTCAGGAGAGTTACTGTTGGGAGATGTGGAATTCTGTCCAAGTAGCTTCAGGACTCTGGAGAGAGAGGGCTTCCCTTTCCACGATCACCTTATGTGCCCTTTGTTATCTCCAACTGCTGGGGATTGAACCTAGGGCCTCATACATGCTAGGCAAGTGCTCTACCACTGAGCTATACCCTCAGCCCTGCATCAACAGATTATTAACAAAAGGGCTATTTGATAAAATGTCAGGCAAGGAAGTCACAAGAACTTTGTTGGGGTGTGCAAAGTTTGAGTTCCAGCACTATAGTGGCTGTCTGTTGCTCCCTGTGAAGTTCACATAATAGAAAGAGTCCTATGGTGAAGATTCACTCCACAGCAACCCTGGAAAGGGGTTGGTCTGCGTGGTTCCTTAGCCTCTTTCCTCACAATGTCCTTGTTTTTATCTGAATAGAGCCCAAGATGCTCCTCCCACTTTTCTTGGAAGCCAAACCCTTTTGCAATCTATATAAGGTTGACCACGCAGGGTTTGAGTGATTGCAGAAACTGGCCTTCCACTCTGTCAGGGAACCCAACTTGGAGATCAGGTAGGTGGCCTAAGAGGTGGTCTCAGGAGATGCTTCTGCTTGAGGGTCAGAGAGATGGGAGCCAAGATGGGTGATGCTTGTGCTGACACTAGAAATCAAACAACTTGAGCCAGGCAAATATTAGCTGGGGCAGAGGAACCAGGTGGAGCTTGGGGAGGGGCTGTGGGAGCAGGCAGGTGCAAAGAACACATGGGGCTGGAAAAGAAGGGACCCCCAAGTTGCGGGAGGTAAGCATCTCTCTTTGGAATACAATGAAATCCCTTTATGAGGCCAGTGTCAGGCACAGGACTGAGTTTCCCTTGTGTTATAAGACAACAAGGCTCTGTCAGTCATGGTCCTGGATGTCATGTGATAATGAAGGAATATAATTTGACTCACAGTTTATTCAAAAATGATTTTCTGAATCAAAAATGATTTTCTGAAGAGCTGCTTGAGCTCTGGGTACAAATGTATTTTAGTTTTCAAATGTATTCTAGATGAAAGAAACTCTGGAATTCAAACAGTACTGGCAAAATTTGGGGTGGTATCATAGATCACTACCTAGAGGGGAAGATGGCCCCTCTCTAGTGAGTGGGAGTAAAACACACTTGGAAAGTGTGTGTGTGTGTGTGTGTGTGTGTGTGTGAGAGAGAGAGAGAGAGAGAGAGAGAGAGAGAGAGAGAGAGAGAGAGAGAGAGAGAGAGACTGACTTACTGTGTGGAAAATCTCTCAAGAAAAGGGATGTCTTACTGTCTGACCTGAAAGGGAGACTGGACACCAAGGGAGCAGCAGGGGGGAGCTGGAGGTCCCTTTCTGAGGTCGTCATCTTCTTTCTCCTTTCCCCAGTTAGGATCTCTCAGGCAGTGAGGCCACCATGGCTCTGGAGAAGTCCCTCATCCTGTTCCCAATGTTAGTCTTGGTGCTGCTGGTACTGGGGTGGATCCCTCCCACCCTGGGCAAGGAATCCGCGGCCAAGAAGTTCCAGCGGCAGCACATGGACTCAAGCGGTGGTTCCTTCAGCCCCAGCCCCACCTACTGCAATGAAATGATGAGGCGCCGGAATATGACAAAGGGCCACTGCAAGCCTGTGAACACCTTTGTGCATGAGTCTCTGGAAGATGTTCAAGCTGTCTGCACCCAGGAAAATGTCACATGCAAGAACGGGCAGACCAACTGCTTCCAGAGCAGATCCAACATGCACATCACAGACTGCCGCCTGACCCGGGGCTCCAAGTACCCCGACTGTTCATACAAGACCAGCCAGAAAGAAAGGCAAATCATCGTGGCCTGTGAGGGAAACCCGTATGTGCCTGTCCACTTCGATGCTTCTGTAGAGGGGTCCGCTTAAGTCCAGAGAAGGAGGATGCCATCCTCCCCATGACCTGTCCTTGGGACGCTTGCCTCTCCCTTTTTCCTTCCTTGCTCTAAAAGAAATAACTCCAATTAGGGCTTCCATCCAACACACAGATGAGTCTTATTCCTGCACAACTTTGGGGGACAGGAGTGGTTTGTGGCCCCATGTTAATTCCTTACCATTTCTTCCAATAAAACATAGTTGCAAATCACCTGATTTCTGAAGTGTCTTATCCAGGTACTGTTTCTGTGGTTACTTTTCAGCTAGAGCTAAGAACTAAATCTGACTAGTCATTGGTGAGAAGCAAATGAAGTAATTAAATACCTTCCCTTCTGACTCTTGGATTTCAGTGGCCAGAGAAAATTCCTTTCCTTGTAGATTCCTTGATGCCAAGTCCAAAACTGCTAAGTGTTTTAAGTAAAAAGGAGCTACAGGCCGGGACACTCTCATGCTGGGTGAACAGACAGAGGGTCAAGCTCAAACACTGTAATTCTATGGCATAGAAGGAAGGACAGTGTGATGGCAGGAAGACTCTGCTTAGCCTCAGGGTGGCGAGGAGGAGTTTATAAAATTATCATCTCAAAAGTTTTCATTTGTCTTTTTGTTGAGAGAGATATTACTGAGACAGAAAAATGGCTCTCTCTTACCTGAAAAGTCAGAACCTTAAATGGTAGAAGTGGAAGGGTCTTTGGAGGTCATGGAGTTAAAGGATAACAAGTATTTCAGCCTGTGAACCAACCCTGGTGGAGGTACCTGCCTAGAATGCTGTAGAAAAATATTCTAAACAGGACCGTAGTTGAACCACAGTCTCTACTGGAGGCACCAGAGAAGTTGTCATGGATGTACTGCACACTAACTATCCCTGACATAATGTGACCTTCACCTTTTAAGGGATTTGTTCATGACCCACTAGTAGTGGCCCAGCTGGGACTGGAACCCCGGTTCCTGGCCTCCCTGGAATTATTCTTTCTGCTGCTGGAGTCTAACTCAGGAAGAAACAGACATTAACTTTGCTAAATGCTATGGAGTGGTGGCTCTTCTACATATTTCCAGTATTCTTGGCCCTCACAGTTCTTAACAATAGTCCCTTAGAGCCATTCAAAGGACTAGAGTAAGCTTCTGTCTTCTCTTAATCGTTACATTTAATTCTCTATTTAATGTTGCATCTGGTTTTAGACAGGGTCATAGAACTAAAGGCCCCACTTGCCACTGGTGGGACCAGTTGTGTCATTGCCATTATATGCTATACTTGTAGATGTTGGAAGTGATTGTGATTTTTCATGTATAGAGTGAACTCTTAGCCCTGAGGTCTCTGAAGGAGGAAGAAGACCTGCAGGTATAAAGGGGCAGTGGTAGTGAGGTAGTGGAGAATCTCAATGTTATGAATGAGAATTGGGGAGGAAAGAGGAAATTTCAAGTTTCTAAATATGTTTCCTTTAATCAACTTTTCTCCTAAGCTCATCTCGCCCTTGTTTCCAGCTCCAGTTTTCCTTCCCTTTAGTCCTAAGAGAATACTTCTGTGGAGCTTTTAAGAACACTTGGGTTTTTGCTGCATACATACCTCCACCTTCACTAACTGGCTTCCAGGCTCCCCATACCTTCCCGGCTAGAGGAAAGCTGGGCTTCCCATCTGGGGAATGAAATGATAGGTGAAGATGGTGGTCCAGGTGCAGAATGTGCAGCCAGGAAACCCCATGAGGAGGGAAAATTCCTGAACAGGAGGACACAGGGAGGAGAGGCTGCACCTTATCATGCGGAGGACCAGGCACAGCCACAGAGAGAAACAGCTTAGCTGTCCAGGAAAAAATCAGGCATCACTGTTGAGTGGGAGACAATTGCCCCTCTGTGAATAGAAGAGTCCCAGGAGATTCACCAATGTAGACCGATTTTAAAGTTGAGGAACTAACATGTTAAGATGGTGTCTGCTTGAAGGCAGAAGAGCCATGTCCAGGGAGTATTCTGAGCACAGTGTGACTGTTTCTCCAAACCAAATGAACTTTTGTAATTCTATATTTTCAGTGAACAGGAGCTATTTGAATGTGCCCCGCAAAGTAACATATGTTGAAAACTCAATTCCCAGTACAACAGTGTTGAAAGAGGTAAATAGGTCATGAGGGTTCTGCCCTGATGAATAGATTAATGTCATATCATGGAGTGCATTCATTATGGAAAGGAGTTCAACCCTCTCTTGCTCTCTGGTGCTGTTTTGCTCTCTACCTTCTGCTGTGGGGTGATATGGCAAGAAGGTCTTCACCAGCTGGGGCCCTTCAATCTCGGACTTCCCATCTCCAGAACTGTGAGCCAAATAAATTTCTGTTCATTTTAAGTTCTTCGGTCTCAGGTGTTGTGTTACAGCAGCACGAATTAGACCAGCACAAGAGGTAAACACAGCTCCTCCTTACTCCTGGCAACTTTAAGAATATTGACAAAATTATAGAATTTTCTGCCTCTTCTGATTGGCTGATCATCCCTCTTAAGACTTGTGCTTATTCCTATGGTAAATTCTTCCTTTAATTCCAGCAACCAGTAGCTCCCCAGATCCACACTCCCCCATATCAAAACAGATCCATCCTCTATACGTGAAATGAGTCCTTCACTCAGAAGAGTAAATGATCATTACCTCTGGTGCTTTCTTTCCACATGCCACTTCCATCAGTATCTGCACCTTGAGATTTCTCCCTGAGAAAGGAGAGGCTGCTCCCAGTCCCCACATTTGCTTCTTTAGGCTGATTCAGATCTCATGGAGCAAGTGGGGATGTTTAGGAGGCTCTGAATTGAAGTATCCATGGTGGAAAGGTGACTTCAGTATTGCTTTTGGGAATTGATCATGAAGATGACAAAGCTCTTGTCACATGCATAATGCATGACTCATAATGGGGGTCCTAAATATAAAGTACATAATGAAGGTATGCCTCCCTAAGACTAAGACTAGCCAGGGGCACACTTCCAAATATATCAAACCACTTCCTAGGGGACAAGTGGCATAATTCCTCTGCAAATCATTCAATATGTTTTGGTATATTTGGGATTTCTTTGTGGCTTTCAGGAAGTGTATGGCCTTTCCCCTTTGGGTTTAGCTTCCTTCCCATTCCCTTGTTATAAATAAAACACACTTTATTTTTTAGAGAAGTATTAGATCCCCATGCTGATTAGGCCATGATTGCCTTCATAATCAACAGTAAATGAGTAGTTAATTTGAATGGATAGAGTTTGTTATACCAGTAAGCATAGGGGTTATATTTTAAAGCTCATAGCACCCATATGCTATTATTCTCTAGTGTCTCCTTGCTACAAGTTAGGGAAGGGCCTCTACCCAGGGTCTGTTTCCTTTTCTTTCCACCTTCTGAGTCTGCATGTTGTGGATAATTGGGCCAGGGTCCCTGGCTTAATTATACCTCCACTATCAGCTCCCTGTGCTTCTGAGCCAAGGCCATGTAGCTCCCTAGTCTATAGCTCCTAATCCAGGGGTTGAGGCTTGATAATCTCAAAGTCCCCTTATACTTATTATTAGTGGCATGTAGTTATATATGATCACTCATTTCTAATAAAGTCGCCTCATCGAGATCTGGTTTAGTTCAGAGTGCTCTTCTCACCACAAAGCCACTTTAGAGGACTTGATCATCCTAGCAGATTTCAAATACCCTGTCAGAGCAGATTTTCCTCAGTCCACTTTAGACAGCCTCTGAGTCAGTTATGGCAACTAACCTCCCAGGGCCCTTAGTCCTTCCCAGTCCCCCAGAACCCATAGGGAGTTTAGTTTGGCTCAGAGCTCTCAGGGAGAGGCAGATGTGGAGGTGAGATCAGAGCAGCAATGAGAAAGTGCAGGTGTGGGGTCAGGAATTCCCTTGGCTTTATTGAGGACATGTCTAAAGAAGGTGCAGGGCTGGGCCTTGCTTCAGATCAGCATGGCAGCCTTTCATCTTCACTTCCCCTTCCTCTCCCACAGACACCACCAAATGACTATTTTAGTGTAGACCTGGGGTTGTATAATATAGGAACACAATCTGCATGGGAATGTGTGTGTGCACACTACTGCATATGCCTGAGATCGTGTCTGTAGACTTGTGGAATCAAGGAACATCCTTCTGGGAATGGCCTTTTGTGATGTGACTAAAACATCTTCAACTTAAAGAAAGGTAAAGCAAAAAAAAAAGAAAGGTAAAGCAATTCCTAGGTATGGTGGCGCATACCTGTGACCCCAGGGACTTCGGACGCTGAGGCAGGAGAATCACAAGTTTGAGGACAGCCAGAAACTTATTGAGAGCTTTTCTCAAAATAAAAAATAAATTAAAAAATTAAAAAGGCTGAGAATGTAGCTTAGTAGTAAAGTATCCCTGGGTTCCATGCCCAGTACCAAAAAAAAAAAAAAAAAGTAAAACCAATAATGGAAGAAAGAAAACCAAAACCAGGTCTGTTGATTCTGAGAATGTGTGCTTTTATGCCTTCTCCAAGTTCTCTTTCTCCAAGTTCTCTCTCTTCCTTTTTTTCATTTAAAAAAATTATCTTATAGTAAAACTAAGTGTTTGGTATACAAGTATGTGATTTTTAACCACTTCCACAATCAGAAGCAGAACAATCCCCTCACCTCAAAAATCTCCTTTGCTGTCTCTTTGTAGTCATTCTCTCCTTCTGCTTCTGTTGCCTAGTAACCACTGATGTGTTTTCCTTCACTGTATTTTTTTCTTTTTGAAATGTCAGGCAGATAGAATTGCACAGTATAAACCTTTTCATAATTCCTTCGAAATCCATCCAAGATGTTGAATGTATGAATAGTTTGTTTTTCTTTATATTCCAGGATGCTGCACAACTTGATTATCATTTACCAATTAAAAGACATTCCATCTCTTTCCACTCTGTGTGATTATGGAGAGAATGGCTGTAAACATTTCTCCTCTTTTCCTTCCTTTTTTCATCTTCCTTTTTGATATTGGGAATTGAATACAGGGGTGCTTTATCTTTAAGCTACACCTCAAGTCTTTTTTATTTTTTATTTTGAGATAGGATCTTGCTAAATTGCCAAGGCTACCCTCAAACTTGTGATCCTCCTGCCTCAGCCTCCCAAATCACTGGGATTACAGGCACCAAAAAGGTAGTCTTTTCAACAAATGGTGTTGGAGCAAATGAACACCCCTCCCTACCAGACTTCCAGCCCTTGAATCTTCCTTCCCCTGCCCACTCTTCCCACAGAGGCAGCTCTCTATCTCTGGAGAG